TTGTTTAAGGCATCATTTCTTTCCCTTATTTTCACATACACCCCCTTAATTTTTATTCACCCCCACTTATTTTAGTAGGTAATTTTAATTCTTTTAGTTTTACGTTATTCTTTTTTCTCTTCCTCTTTCAATTTTCTCGCTGATTTCACTATCTGCATAGTACTCTAGAATAGTGAAGATGTATTTTTCATAACATTAAACATAATGTTAAGATTTTTGGAGGGGTGAAAGGAAAGGAAGTGTTAAAAGAAAAAATAGGTGTCTAATTTGATAGAAACTGTCAAGGAAGTTATACCTATCTACAATATTATCGCCTACCAGTTCTATGATTTGGGTGCATGTGAAAAAGTTAAAGAAGTGAGAAAATAAGAGAATAATATAAAAATCGAGAGAACTAAAACTACCCATTAAAATAAGTGAGAAATTAGAGGAAAACAAGACGGTGCATGTGAAAACTAGAAAAGGTGTGTGAAAAAAAATAATAAATTAAAAATTAAAGATGTAAAATTAAAATTTAAAGAATAAAAAAATTATAAATATTTTAAGATTTTTAAAAAAAAAGTAAAGGAAGTGTACTTATTAAAAAAAAAAGTGTATATATCATTAGCCTAATACATGTAGTGCTAAAACATTTCGTAATTAGTGGCCCAAAAATCTCAACCTCATAGCCTCAGCAGAATGGGCCATAAATGCTAAGCCCATTTAATGATTAATGGACATATCTTATTTGAATCGTATGTGTGTATATATAGCTTAATGATGATGGTTGATGAACTCATATCTTAAGATTTTCCAAGATCATTGGTATAAATTTTGAGCATTAAAATAATATAGCCTCTCTTTCATTAAACTAGCTAGTAGATGTGTAATATTAATATATGGGCACTACAACATTTTTTATATTAGGCAACGAGTTTTTAGGCAACGCCTAAAAAAATGTTCTCGAAATATGGAATAAGCAACAATTTTGTAAACTGTTGGCATTTTGTTTGACAACAATCATAAAACCGTTCCCAAAATCACATATAGGCAACAATTTTGTAAACTGTTGGAATTTTGTTTGACAACAATCATAAAACCGTTTCCAAAATCACATAAAGGCAACAATTTTGTAAACTGTTGGTATTTTGTTTGACAACAACCATAAAACCGTTACCAAAAGCACATATAGGCAACAATTGATCAAAGCGTGCACTATTCTCTTTTCAATATTAACATAACTATTCTTGCACTACTAAGAAAGATACCTTCACACCCCCTTCTCCACCTCTTCACATACCCTTCCTCATCTCCCAACCCCACACCCCTTCTCTCTTCATCATCGCCCTCTCCGCCCCCTCCCTCGCCCTCTTCCGCTGCCTCCGCCACTCTATGCCGCCGCCTCTCTCCTCTTCAGCTGGCGCTCCCCCTGGCCAGACTTTGCAGTGTGAGCTACGTGCGCCGACTCCGTCGCTGCACTGTCAGCGCGCGACACCAGGCAGCCGTTCTCCTCCTTCCTCAAGCTGCTCACTGAGGTGCTTTTCACGGAGTAGGAGCTGAGCTTGCAGGCCGCCTCTACGCTCTGCATCACCACCGCGATCGCCACGGCTCTGGATCCGAACATGCCCAGGCTCTAGATCCTAACCCATGTCGCCGCCATACCGAAGCTCTAAGGCGGAGCCACCCCCGCTGCCTCCGCCAGTGATGCCGCAGCTAGAGATCGTCGGGAATCCATTCGTGTACCAACTCCACCTGCGCCGGCCATGGCTCTGACCTCTACCGAGACGACTCCGCCGCGCTTGTCCTCAAATTCGTCGCCTTCGCCTCCATCCTCCTCCCCGGCATGGCCGGAATCTCCATCCTTCTCGTCGGACGCCACCGCCGCTTCCTCCGCATCGACGGCAACCTCTTCGTCGCCGCCAAATCCTCAATATAAAGAACTCCATTAAGCCCTTCGATGCCTGCTGCCTCTGCCTCAAATCCTTAATCGACCCTATGAGCTGTCACAAGGGCCATCTCTTTTGCAAAGAGTGCATTCTCCAGTGCCTCTTGTCTTAGAAGAAAGACATTCAAAGGTCTATTTTCTATCTCGCTTTATTTTATTTCAAATTGCAAACCCTATGATTCAACTCCAATTAGTTGCATTTCTATTGGTCCTTTGTTGAACAAGAGTGGGATACCTTTTGCTGTGCCTTTTAATTGGAATGGATATGAAAATAATCTCACTTATATTCTTATTGTCGACGGACGTTTGTTTAATTGAAGCTGCTAGAATTACTGTACAATCTTAGATGAGATTTTCTACAAGGCTAGATTTTTTCTTTGACACAATCAATTTGCTTCACTGGGTTGAATGCTTTTGGAATTTAGATAGCTGAGCTGTGTTGTTTAAGGCATCATTTTTCCGGTGTTGCATGATTTGTTTTGTGAAGTTGAGTTGAATTTTGTTTGTTGCAACTTGCAACTCAGTAATTATATGGCTGCCTTGGGAAGGTGATGTCCTGTTTGTGAATATTGGTTTGTTTCATGTCTCTGTCACAGCGGTCCTTCTTGCAAACTGTTGATTGAGGATTTTGTTCAGTTGTAATGTTCTCTTTGAAATTTTCTATATTTGTGATGGTCTCATTAGTCATAAGTATAACCATGTCAATTATTTTGGATTTCTGTCTATTAATATTGATAAATGTCATATCCTGCTCACTAAAAGTTTTAATGGTATAAAATAGAACTTTTGTCCTGCTCACTAAAAGTTTGTTATTTTTATTGCTTCTTCATTTAACTAATTTGGATTTTACTGTCTTCACAGTTGGCTGTATTCATATATATTGATAATTTATGCCGGTAAATAAATGTTTTGAAGGATATGAATATGAAACAAAGGCTTAAAAGGATAAGAAACCTTAAATGTTTTGCAGATTATTGCCATGTTGAAGGAGAAACTTGGAGTGAAATCAGATAAAGATCTGCCAATGGTGGATTACAGGTAGAAATTTTTATACATGCTTTTGCAATTATGTTGTTGCAATTCTAGCATTCTAATATGTAAAAAGAATGATGCTTAGTTCATTAGCTACTTCGATTTTGGAATTTTCTTTCAAGATTTGATTCATGTTATTGAAAGGTAATATTCCAAATGTAAAACAGTTTTCTTGTTGGTTACCAGCGCATCCGATACATGCGTAATTTTAAAATAGAGTTTGATACAAATACAATGTGGAATTATATTGATTAATTTTGAGCTTATTTTATTAAGCTTCACAATCAAACATGTGAATAAACTCTTAAGTTGTAAGCTCTCGTATGGTTAATTAAGATCTTTACTCAAACACCATTTAATATTAAACTTAGGAAACGCAAATCTACAATTAATTTTTATTTATGTTGCAGGAAACATTGATAAATATATAATGCACTAAAAAATTTCGTTTGAAATATCTTCTTGTTTAGGCATTTGGCCAGCATTTGTACCTTCTCGAGAGAACTTTTAAAAAGAAAAAAAATAAAGTAGTTACTTCTCGAGGGGTTTATAGCCAAAATTAGAACCATGTATGAATTTTTTCACTTGTTCCAGAATACTCAAGTGGGTCACCCAAGATGAAGATGAGCTTAAAGAAACCACCAAGGGTCGAGTCCAAGCAGTAATTCTTGACATGACAAGTGAGTTTCTGTTAAATATTTCATATCAAAAGAATTTTAATGCCTAAACATTTATAAATTTGATACTATATATGCCAATGACCCTGTGCAATTCTCTTTCATAGACTTGATGAATGTTGATACTTCCGGAATTCTAGCTCTTGAGGAACTGCACAAGAGGTTGCTTTCACGTGGTGTAGAAGTAAGGCTACTCTGAATTTGATTATATTCTTTGACATTAATATACACAGGATTAAATATGTTTTTACATTACTAACAGCAAATAAGTGAATGGTCCAAATTTCTATAAATAAAAGAAGATAATTTTTTTTTAACATAAGACACATTTTTAAAAATGAAACACTAAAATAAGATGATCTTTTGTAGAAAGACTATAGATGAATATTTCATTATGTAAAAGTTTATTAAAAAAATTATAGGTTGATAGATAAAAATTATCATGCTAATTTACACTTGAAAATGAAAAGAGAAAAATATATGTATGGTTGATATATAGTCGGATGTGAAAGTTGTGTTAAATGGAATTTTTTTTCCTATGAATTTGTGCTTATTTCTTTTGTTTGTTAATTATCATGTAATAGAAACTTGAAAACTGAGTAATTTTATTTCTTCCATTTAAATTATTATGTAATGATGATGTTGAAATTTAATGCCTTTTTTCTTATTTTGTTACATCTTTTCACTTGTTTTATGTTCAAACTTGTTTCCATAAACATGCCAATATAAATGTCCGTGCTATAGCTCAAGGTTGTTCTGAGTACAATGTTATTGTTGTTGTTAAGCGAGAGGATTGTATAAAGGCTTTACGAGCTGTGGATAATATAATGGAGAATGCTAAGCAATGACAATAGTGTAGCACCTCCTTCTTCTGCCTCAACCCATAGTCCTGGTCATGATAAGCTATAATTTATTCCTTTGTCAAGTTCTAAATTATATTTTAATTCATTTCATTTGTGTATACCAAACCAGTTACAAAAGTTTTCTTGTGTATAACTAGCTTTAACTCATGTTAATTGTTGGGGATTGATTGGGGATTAATTCTATAAGTTTTCTAAGTGAAAAAATAATTTATGTGCAGGAAAGACTTGATAATGAAGATCAGCCTTATGATGATGAAGAGACTGAATGATGTTACTTACATGGATGGATGACTAGCCTTATAATTTGTTTTATTATTTTTTGAGGGTGAAATCAATTCTTTATTGAGCACATGAGAAATGTCTTCTTGAAGAAGACGATGTACAAGAGGATTATCAATCCAAAATAATGTATAGTTCTTCTTATTAATATGAGTTGTTTAATATGGAATCAAAATCCCGATAGGATATATCCTATGCAAAAGTCAGGGATATATATATAAAAAAACAATGTCTGCTCGAGTTGAAAACCGAAAGGCGGCTTGAGTATTCCCTATACAAAGCAAGAATCCATAAAGATTTGACTTTGAACTACAAACACCAAGCAAGTGGAAGGGTTTTTCTGAGGTAATCAAGTCATCCATGACTCTCTAGGGGGAAACCTCCTTCTATCTCTCTATGTATGAATCACGAACTCGGGGCATGCCCAGGCCTCCGGGGTATTCTGTTTTGAAATAACTACATATGTAAATTACTATTTAAAGATTAAAAGTTATATATAAATTAAATATATTCTTTAAACATGTGTAATAATAATAATAATAAATGTAGTAAAATAATTTATATCTATATATAAAGGAGATCAGTTGGTTTATAATTGCATTTTGTTTCCATCTTTTTTTAAATAATTTTACCCTTAGACCTTTAAATAATAAAAATATATTAGGAATTATCTCTATTTTGATCACTCAATTAAGTTAATCACTTGTAACTATTTAAATCATCAAATTTTACTGATTTTATTAATTAATCTCTATTTTTTTATTTTATTTTAAAATTCTTATATAAGATATAAAGACAATGTATTTGATTTCACTAATATATAACAATGAAATTATTTGTGTGTAAAAAATTTTGCACCACAAATTTAAATTTAAATATTTATTATTTATTTTTGTTTTATAAATTTATTTTTTATTTATATTTTTAATAATATATGTATAAAAAGATTGACCTATCAAGTCTAATAATTTTTTTATAAGTCTAAACATAATATTTTTATATATTTTTTTAAAATTTAAACTTGACCTTTTTATTAAACAGACCATAACTAGACTTTAAAAGATCAAATCATAGACCTTTATTTTAAGGTTTGACATATTTTCATTCTTACTAAAGAATGAGTGCTAGACCTGTTGCTTTTCTCTCATTTTCTCTCTCTCAACTCTCACTCTTTCACTCTCACTCACTCTCATTCTCACTCTCTCTTACACTCTTCTCCCCCATCATTTGCTAATTCCTTTGTGGTGATCTAGGTGCTGACTAGAGCTAGTTGAGTGTACCAGATGGATTTCCTTTCTTCCCCATTGAGCTTCGTCTCCGTTCGTTCTTCTTCTTCATAGTCTTCTCTTCCCGGAGCTTGGATTTCTTCACCAAGGTAAGATAAACTAGGTTCTGCTGGATTTTTGTGTGGAAATGAGTTTAGAAACTCATTGGTGGTTTGATGATTTGATGATTTTGGCTGAGATTGAAGATAACTGGTTTTCGGGGTTTGGGTGAAATTTGGGGATTTTTCCTTATTTGTGGTTGCATGTTGAAAAAGATGGTATTTTTGAGCTGTTTGGTGAAAATATGGCATTTTGGCTGGTTTGCATGTTTTGGAAATGTTGATTTTTGTAGGATTTGGGCAAGATTTTTGAACTTGGTGAGTTGTTGCTGAGTATCACGCCGAGCACAATTCTTGGCACCGGGCGCGTGACCACCAAAGGGCTCCATTGGGCAAGCCCGCCGGGCGCAAGGGTGTGTGCATCGAGCGCGCTTGAGAATGTGAGCCTCTGGATGGCCCACGCCGGGCGTGGTTGGACCGCGCTGGGCGCGATATCAGTACGTAACATGTTTTTTGGGTTACTGGTGCTGCGCCGGGCGTGACTACGTCTCGCCCGGCGTGGAGACTCCTTGGGAGTCTCTGCCAGAGGTGGCGCCGGGCACAATTAATATTGCGCCGGGTGTGAGACCTTGGGGAGGTCTCTGCCTTCCTTGCGCCGAGCGTGGGTTTGGCACGCCAGGCGTGTGAGGATCTTTGGAGTCTCTACCTCCTAACACGTCGGGCGCAATTGGTATTGCGTCGGGCGCATTTTAACCCTGGTGCTCTCTGGTTGAGCCACGTCGGGTGCGACCACGAGTGCGCCGGGCGCGGATATGTACTTGCTATATATGCTGATATATGTTGAAAATGCTGATAATTGTTGTTATATGCTGAGCTGAGCTGTAATTGATGAATATTGTTATGTTGTTAATGCTGAATTATAATATTGCGGTGTTGTGAGTTGTTTAAGTTATGCTGTATATTATTGAGTTGTGTTGTATGCTGATATTGCTGATTTGTTGTGCTGTGTTGCATGCTGATATAAACTATTATAGGCCGTAAGGCTGAGCTGTTGTAGGCCGTAAGGTTGAGCTGTTGTAGATCTCTGAGCTGATATGCGTGATGACGCATTGTGTGTTTACTGTTGTTATTGCTGAATGATATGAGGTGTATGTTGTGATATATTGTATGCTGATATTAGATGATATGCTGATAGCTGTAGCTGATCATAATTATGGTAATTATGTGTGTATAAGTTGATTCTTTTCACTAGCTTACCCTTTGTTGTTTCTATGTGGTTTGGACTGCAATAATCATACTATGTATGAGAGCAGAACAGGGATAGGGTGGTGTTGAGGCAGGTCGGCAGCTGGCAGATGGAGTGGAGTTTATTCCTTTGTTGTTTTTAGCTACTTAGTGTAGCATTGCTGGATGTATTTTTGTATACTATGATTTTTAAAGCCCCAGACTAGACCTTGTGTATATATTTAGCTGCTTATATATATGCATGCTCTTGTGTGTGTGGTGCTGTGGTGTTGTTGTTGTGTGACGACCAGGCGGGTCGTTACACTTTAGTGGTATCAGAGCAGTTTGAGTCTAGTGGACACCCGTGGGGGTGGTTCCTTTAGGCTTTTGTTGTGCTGAGCTCTGTGTTGTGTTGCTTTGCTGTGGTGATTTCTTTGTTGATGTTGTGTTGATGATTGTAGTTTGGTTTAGTTATTGTATACTGAAGGTGCTGTTACTTTTGTAGACAATGACTAGAACCAATGAGCAGATAGCTCGTGCCATGGAGATGATGGCCATGGCTATGTAGTAGCAAAATGCTTATTTTGCTAGGATGGACACTAATAGAGCTGCAGCTGGTGCAGCAAGGCCCGTGGGGTCACAGGAGAGCCAGGATCTTACTGAGTTCCAGAAATGCCATCCTCCACAGTTCAAGGGAGATGCAGACCCAGATGTAGCTGACCATTGGATCTGTGAGCTGGAGAAGATCTTCATCATATTGGGATGTTCTCAGGAGAGGAGGTTGGCATATGTTGTATACATGCTGGTAGGAGAGGCTGAGCATTGGTGGAGGGGTACCCACCATATGTTGACTGCTAGAGGGGTTGTTATTGACTGGGAGTGCTTCAAGAGGGTGTTTCTGGAGAAGTACTTCCTGGAGAGTGTGAGGCATGCTAAGGAGGCCGAGTTCATGCGGTTGCACCAGGGTGGGCTGTCTGTATCTGAGTATATGATGAGATTCAAGCAACTGGCTTATTTCTATTCGCAAGCTATAATTGAGGCCTAGAAATGCAAGAAATTTGCTGAGGGGTTGAAGCAAGAGCTGAAAAGGGTCATGGTGCCTATGGCCATCATTGAGTTTTCGGCCTTGGTGGAGAAGGCAAAAATTGTTGAGCGGTTGGAAGGTGGCAACCGTGTGACTAAGAATGCTGAGGGACCAGCTAGGTCCAAGAAAAGAGGAAATTAGAGGAAGCCATATGATAGGCCCCAACCACAACAAGGGGGTCCTGTTATAAGGCAACCTGTTGATGCTGCCAGAGGAGGGAGACAGCGTAGAGGTGCCACTCTTAGATGCTACAGGTGTGTTGGACCCCACTTTGTTAGGGATTGTCCACACACGGAGAGCCAATGTTTCAGGTGCCATCAGATGGGTCATGAGTTGACCAACTGTCCCGCCAGAAATAGATTGGAGAGGGGTGCTCAGAGGGGTGACAGGCCTGCTACTGCTGGGAGAGTATTCGCCTTGACTAGGGCTGAGACTTCAATTTCTTCTGATCTTGTGAAAGGGAAGGGTAAAGCTGCTGGTAAGGATGTGATGTTTTTGTTTGATTTTGGAGCTTCCCACTCCTTTATCTCTTATGCATGTGCTGCTATGCTTGGTGTGCTGATGTGTGATTTCAGGTTGAGATTGCTAGTGTCGACGCCCGCTTCTACTTCGGTAGTTTCTTTTGAGTTGTGTGTTGGATGTCCTATTGTGGTGAATGAGAAGAGGTATAAGGTGAACTTGATTTGTTTGCCTTTGGTGGCCATTGACATAATCTTAGGGATGGATTGGTTGTCTGCCAATCGCATCCTTATAGATTGTGCCAATAGGAGGTTGATCTTTCCTCAGGTGGAGGAAGAGCTATTGATTTCAGCTGGCCAAGCTGAATCATTATTGAGAGATGGAGCATAGTGTTGTATTCTGCTTGCTGCCATGAGTGTGGATACCGAGAAGGTCATAGCTGAGATTGATGTGGTGAGGGATTTTGCTGAGGTGTTCCTGGATGAGGTGCCAGGGTTGTCTCCTACTAGGGAGATGGAGTTAAGGATTGACTTGGTTCCAGGTGCGGGGCTAGTGTCGGTGGCTCCCTATAGGATGACCCCAGCTGAGCTGATTGAGCTGAAAGGTCAGTTGGAATACCTGTTGGAAAAGTAGTTGGTGCGGCCGAGTGTATCGCCGTGGGGTGCTCCTCTGTTATTGGTGAAGAAGAAAGATGGAGGTTGTGACACCCTTACTACCCCAACACATATATTGTAATAGTATGTGAGTATCACTTAAGTAAATTAGTGTCTCTATCTTTCTTGTGCTTTAAATATTTTTAGGCTAAAATAGTATTTTAGTCCCTTATAATAATTGTTTGTTTCAATTTAGTCCCACTTTTAATTTTGGTCTCAATTTGATCCCTAATAAATTAATTGGTTGCAATGTAGGACTTCCGTCCAAATTATTTAAACGGAGTTAACTGTTGGCCACGTGGAATGCACGTGGATGCCACATAGATGCATAGGTGGATGCCACGTGGATGCCAAATTTTTTGAAAACACCTGGAACCAGAACGGCCTGTTCTGAAACTAGAACGGGTCGTTCTAGGTGCACTCTTGGTGTGTTAATTTTGCATCCGGAACGGCCCGTTCCAGGTGCAAAATTAACACACTAAAAATGCAACCAGAACGAGTCGTTCTGGTTTTAGAACGGGTCGTTTTGGTTCCAGACTGCTAAACACAAACGGTCAATGATTATAGTTTATGGTTGTGAATCGTGGAAGGAAAAAGACCCAAGGTACAAAGCATTTCAAACACTGGATTTGGTAATATTGTCAATGGAAATTGATAACTTCAATTGCTAAACAGTTGGGCTATACAGTGTATCATTAAAAAAATTAAAAATCATATGATACTTCATTAAATTAATTCAAAATAACATATAAAATATTTTTGTTTTAAATGAGTGTAAAAATTTAGAGGACACTAAAAGAAAACAAATTAATAATTTTATTATGTTTATCCTATTAATTTTTATCATTTTATTCCTCTAATTTTAAATAAGTTGCAAAAAATTCTTAAGTGACACTTAAATATTTCTTTAGACAAAAAGAGAAAAAAGAAAAGTTATCACTCTATTTATAAGATAATTGTATTTTATAAAAATAAGTAATTTTAAAATTTTTACCATAAATTTTTTTTTTCAAAATTATTATAGTTCTGGAACGGGCCGTTCTGGTTTCAGAACGGGCCGTTCTTTTGTACTCGTAGTGTGTTAATTTTGCATCTGGAACGGCCCGTTTAAGATGCAAAATTAACATACCAAGTGTGCACCCAGAACGGCCCGTTCTGATTTCAGAATGGGCCGTTCTGGTTCCAGGTGTTTTCAAGGAATTTGATATCCACGTGGCATCCACCTATGCATCTATGTGGCATCCACGTGACCAACAGTTAACTTCGTTTAAATAATTTTGACAGAAGTCCCACATTGTAACCAATTAATTTATTAGGGACCAAATTGAAACTAAAAATAAAAGTGGGACTAAATTGAAACAAACAATTATTATAAGGGACCAAAATAGGTTTTTAGCCATATTTTTATATAGTAATTTAAAGAAGATGACCATTGCAAAACTTTGAGTCTAGCTCACAAGTTTGTTTCGTCTATCTTCATCATCTTTCCCTGTGATGATAAGTAACCTTTTGGCTCACAACAACCTTATAACAATGGTTATAAAGGTTACATAAATGTTGTGTTCATCTCACTTAGACATTATACATCCAATATAGAGCAATGAGTGTTTACAATAAAAAAAAATAGATTTACAAAGAGTATGTTACTATAAAAAATGTATGTGAGTATCACTTAAGTAAATTAGTGTCTCTATCTTTCTTGTGCTTTAAATATTTTTAGGCTAAAATAGTATTTTAGTCCCTTATAATAATTGTTTGTTTCAATTTAGTCCCACTTTTAATTTTGGTCTCAATTTGATCCCTAATAAATTAATTGGTTGCAATGTAGGACTTCCGTCCAAATTATTTAAACGGAGTTAACTGTTGGCCACGTGGAATGCACGTGGATGCCACATAGATGCATAGGTGGATGCCACGTGGATGCCAAATTTTTTGAAAACACCTGGAACCAGAACGGCCTGTTCTGAAACTAGAACGGGTCGTTCTAGGTGCACTCTTGGTGTGTTAATTTTGCATCCGGAACGGCCCGTTCCAGGTGCAAAATTAACACACTAAAAATGCAACCAGAACGAGTCGTTCTGGTTTTAGAACGGGTCGTTTTGGTTCCAGACTGCTAAACACAAACGGTCAATGATTATAGTTTATGGTTGTGAATCGTGGAAGGAAAAAGACCCAAGGTACAAAGCATTTCAAACACTGGATTTGGTAATATTGTCAATGGAAATTGATAACTTCAATTGCTAAACAGTTGGGCTATACAGTGTATCATTAAGGACAATGCAGTGTATCACTAAAGACAATGGTAACAGATTTTATTTCATTGTTAGTCAAACTGGAGTGAACTACTTACTACCAAATTGACACTATACAATAAAGGATGAAATGACATGGTATTTTTTCTTGAAGTCATTAACGATGTACCCCAACAACAACAACCTGTTCTTGAAGAGGTAGAACCTGCTGTAAAGGAAGAGGATACACATGATTAACATTTCACTGCACAATCACATGTAGGGACGAATCTAAGTTAATCATAACCACTAAAAAAAATTTCATTCTTTTTTTTTTATATATAAAATATTAATAATTTTATAAAATATATATTATTAATTATATTTTAATTATCTTTTTATATCTAATATAATAAATACATTAATATATTTT